AATACCTCCTCCTCCTACATCCTCTCTACCTCTTAATTAGATATTATATAATGACATGTAATCATTAAAGCTAAGAAGGTCGCTAGGGAGTACGGCCGATTAAAGCGGTATATATAATGTTATAAGAGTATAAAGGTATATAGCAACGTATAAAGTCCTACTAGTAATATAGTCACTAATAGTAAAGACTAATCGATGCCCCGAGTATCGGTGTCTTCGAAAGTAAAGATATACTTATATATACTAAGCCTCGCTTAGAGGCTTAGGCTTCGTCGTAGAGGCTACCCTAGCCTCTCTAGTAATAATTATCCCCTCCTCTATATAGTTATCTACAACCGAGAGGCTAATAGTCGTTACACTATATGCGGCTAGCGTATAGTACGTACTACGTGCTTTATTTATAGTTACCTCGTATACGGCTCGTAGGGGGCTCGTATAGGGGGAGTAGCGTCTACTTTACTCGCTCCTAAATCTAGCGTCGCGTCGCGTGCGGCCGGAATTCGTAAAATTGTCGCGTCGTATATACGTCGCGTACGGGCTCGCTTTATATCGTATATACGTCGCGTACGGGCTCGCTTCCCTAGGCTTTACTAGAGTACGCCCTAGCGTCGTAATAATAACGCTGTTATCTTAGTAGTCTATACTATAGCATAACATATAGAATTTCGAATTGCGCTAGCAATTCTTCCTCCTATTAGCTTTATAACATCTGCTTAGTAGCCCTAATACTTCTAGTAAGTAACCCTTCCTAATACCGCTTGTCCTTTCTAATATATGCGCTGCTTACGCTTAGCATATGTTTAATAGTTTCGACTTTTTCCGCTTACGGAAATTATTTTTATTATAACCGCATACGCGTAGCATACGCGCGGCATACGTATTAACCTTACTTTTCCCCTCCTCTAATAGGCTTACTCTATAAGTCGCTTACGCACCTTATACTAATCTAGTAGATAGATTCCGCGATGTTAAATTTAGATCTTACTCGTTTCGAACGCGAGTCCGTAGCTCGTCTACGCGAAGAAGAGGCTCGCTATAAGGGCGTATCTAAGACGATTACCTTCCTTATATCTCGTCGCCCCCTTTATACGCGCGCCGCTAGCGGCACCTATAGTTCTAGCTCTCGCTACGAGCCTAGTACTCTACGTAACCCGTTCCCTAGCCCCGGATCTTAGTACCGCCGCCGCTACGAGGCTCCTATATCTATCTATACTTCTCCTAACGTGCTCCTTAACGGTACTCTCGTCGTATCCGCTAAGCGCGTACGCTACGTTCGCGAGGAGTTACTTACTCTATTACGCCCTCGTTAACCCGACTTTAGTAGTAGCTCTACTTTGCGCCGCCGTCGCGCCGAACGCTCCTTATCCCCCTTCTAGGACTTAGTTACCTCTACCCGTCGTAGTCGCGCTAAGCCCGCTTCCGGCTCTACTTATACCTCTTATAGTGTACGTTTTAATAAGACTCCCCTTAAGGAGTAGCTTACCGCCTTACGCCGCCGCGTTAAGGAGCTCTCGGCTAACTTACCTAGCGTACGCCGTATACCTACCTCTCGTAATAAGGAGGACCCTACCCTAATGTCTAGAGGTGCTAGCGGACTAGTTAACCCTACCTCGAACGCTAGATTACCCTATGTTCGCCCCGGTCCTACTAACGACCTCGATGCTCGTAGACGCGCCGACCGCGCTACGGAGAAGGACCGTCTCGCTACCCTAGAGAGAAACTAGCGTAAGTATAATCTTCTACGCCGTCGCTCTCCTCGTCTCGACTCTACTAGCCGCGGTCGTAACGCTACCTATACCTATACGCCCGAGTATATCTCGCTAGCTAACTATAGTTGTTACCTATACGCCGTTAGTCCTAAGGAGCGTAAGTAGCGTCGCTATAACTTCGAGGCTACTACCGAGGCTAAGCGCCTTATCGATGCTAAGGAGTTAATCGAGGAGGAGCGTCGCGCTACGGAGCGTAGCTACCGTCTATCCTACGGCGACCTACCTATCTTCGACCTACGCTCGCCTTCCTACTCGCGCTCGCCCTCGCTAAACTTCCCGGCTAGTTACCCTATTAGTGCT